GCATTTGCGACTATATTTTTCTGGAGGAGTGGACTCTGCTTTTTATTTTCATTTTACACTCTCTGTCCAATAGTTGAAAAGAACTCAGGCAATATTTCTCCACAGTCTGCCTGTGCCATTAAATGGGATTCTGTGATGCATCTCTTTGACAGTTTCATTGCAGTGCAAAAATATTTTTTGCCATCTTTAAAATACTGACTTTGGAAACCTCTGCAGAACCAAGGAGAAATGCAAATATTAATGAGCCTGATATAAAAACATTTTTTTTCCTCTATCATTTTTATAGTTGCTATAGAAACACCTTGGCCTTCACTCTTGCTAATTAGTCGGATTTTGCACATTTTATATTTGGAAATGCAAATCAGTTTTCATAAATTATTACTTATTTTTCCATTTATATTTACAGTACTGATATGCAGATACACACAGGAAGCCTGAGATATTAATTAGCTGCATAACACAAATAAGTGCAACATTTATGGTCACATGACAAACCTGGTTTGCTTTTTAAAATGTTTGAAGGAAGTATGTACAGATATACTTTTAATTTTATAGAAAGAATGGAACCTTAACAGTTTTGGAGACAGGAGGGTAAAATGCTTTTCTTTGGAAGGATTGTATATATTTCTATCGATTTTAAATGAACCAATTTAATTGCAATTCCATCCCAAGTCCTTATGCAAATGGAGAACATGTGCATCTGATTCCCCTCTCATTTGTGCCACTGTCAATGAAATAAAGCTCAACTTTGTAATCATTTACAGGGGAAATGGTTCCTGTCTTGGACTATGGAAATATTGGGATCCTGTTGAATTATTTGTCAATGATCTTGGGCATCACTTCTGGGAAGCCCTTTGCACTACTTTTTTGGGAGGGGATTGGTTCCGTCAGAGAGGGAAAGAGACTTGACAGTCTCCACATGGATTTCCCTTAGAGGGATCAAATGCACATGTTCACTTTCCACAATCCTTATGTGTCTCCATTTGAGTCTGAATTTCCAAAAGATCACTGCACTATGGAGAACACCCATCCTGTCCTGAACAGCTGATGTGCTGGGTGGAATGAGGCTGCACACAACATAGGCTGAGCTAGTATTTATTCAACAAATTTTATGTACCAGTTGACTGGGATTTTCCTGTATTATACCATATGTCCCCTGCCCTGGGTAGATGCAATCCCAGTTTATATGTATATCTTGGAATCAGCTTGCATGGGTGAAAAAAGCACTGTGTTAATCTAGAGGATTCAGGAACATATTCTCAGTTCGCATAGGGAGCTAGTCAGGCTGTAAGCACGCACAAGTTTGTGGTCTTGTGCCTCCTGGCTTCTCATGCAACTTAGAGTGTTCCTCATCATGGGATTCTGGGGTTCACTCAGTTCATGGGGTGACTCTGCTGACCTGGCTTGCCACACCCGCCATCAGCAAGTAAAAATTCTTGAGCTTGGATTGGCTTCAGCAGGTTTTTGACAGCTACCTCAGCAGATGCTCCAGTTGCTTTCCCAGACTTCAATTTAGTCTCCCATGTTTCCCTCCCTCTCTCCCTCTCCCCCTCCCCCCTTTCTCTCCCCCCCCACACGTAAAATTGTAATAGTAACTTTAAACTTTAAAACTTTTAAAACAGTAGTATTAAAAATTAAACATACATCTTTCATATGTTTGCTGCAGCCACAGAATTCAAAATCTAGAGTACTCTGGTCACAAAATGTGGAATTCTGTGATGCTTCTAACAAAGCTTTTGAAAGTTGAGTTCATTTGCCATTATATTTTAAGCTTTTGATATTTCTGTCTTCTTGCTTTTTAATTAGTTCTGTTCTGAATTCAAAGTAATTTTTGGACCCACAATACTTGAAGCTTTGTGTGTACTTACTTTTAAGACTGGACCACTCAGCAAACTGTGTGACCAAGTCCCTCAATGATTATTTTTGTTTTCAAAACTGTCATGCATAAATGTCATAGATATAAATGCTCCTCCTTCCACTATGTTTATTCTTTTCTATTTATAACAATCAAAGCCACCAGATACAATTTTCCCAAAGATCTTGGCAGATACAGAAGAAGTCCCAACCCCATGTCATAAGGGGAAAAGTATTATTAGAATAAGAACTAGTCATACCAGCTACAAAGATTTGTAGTATAGCAGTACACGCAAATATAGATTTCTGCATGGTGCTGTTTGGGTGGTTTAAAAGCATCAACTAAAGCCCTGAGTATTTTTGTTTTTAATGATAATAATAATGGTTCCATAAATTCTGTGTTTCTTAATATGGTGAAATAAAAGACACAGATTTGTTTTTAGTTTTAAAAAAATGCTTTTACCTGTTTTCCTCACTCCTCTTCATCTCTGACCTCTCCAGCTGTTTTGCCATCCGAACATCCTCTGAACAGTCCTCTATTCTATTCCAATGTCTCCTGGCCATCCTTGCCAATGTCCAAGATGGTGAACAACATGAAGCATCTTCATAATCTCTGTGGCAATAGCTTCTTTGTGTTTTTACAGTGACCATTATGCTTCTGGTGCTAAGTAAGTTCATAGTAGCAACAGTGAATAAACACAGAAAACACACACGACACAAACTTACTGTTGGCAGCAGTTTGTTTTGGACAAGTTTTGGGAACATTGCTGTACATGTCTGAGCATAAAGTTACAACATGTACTTCAGAACTGGCAGCTGGGGGACTTTGGAAGGACAGTTAATTAAGCATCTTTTAAAAGGTAGCATGTTTACTAAACCACAATAGATGTGCTGGTTAGGGGCATTTTCATCTCCTGTTTTTGTTTGCAGTGCTGCTGGTAGTGTAGCACACTGGCAACGGGTAAGTTCCAGTATCATGCTAGCAAATATGACAGGATTCCTCCTTTTTCTCTTCCCCCCTGCAGTTCCTTATGCCCCAGATCTGCTCTGGAGGGTACCCCAATCCTCCGGGGCAGATTTTGGATATGCATGGAAGGCTGCTGGAAGAGGACATGAAGGGGAAGCCTATTTGGATAAGCAGAAGTCGGCTGTGCAGGCGAGGCACTAGAATTGAATGTTACCTAAAGTTCTTTGAGATTCTTATTCAAGTCTTTACAAAAACACCACCACCACCCTTATTCCCACATTGTAGATGAAAATTGTGGGCAAGAATTTATACATGGAAACTGAAGGCAAGACAAATTGATTTACCCAAAGCTACACAGTGAGTCTCTGGCAGAGGAAGGATTTCAACCTAGATTCCCCTGATTGAAATAAACTTGTTGTACCAAATTATGCCATAGTAAGTCCATTCATTACAATTAGCCTACTCTGAATATGACTTAGTTGGGTACAAAAACACAATACCGACTCTTTACTTACTTGGACTATGGTGTCAAGTTTCCAGATTGAATCTTGCAACACACAAGATGCGGACATCTCTGGACCCTATCCAGCTGCCAGAATTTTTTTGTTTTGTTTCATGAGTTGGCAACCCTAGAATCTCCTATAGAGCAAAGAGAAGCAGCTAAGCTTAAAAGCAGGGGGAAATGTAGTGTGAATGTGAGAATCAAGATTGGGCAAGGAAGAGCAGCCAGGTTTTAATAAGCACGGGTCGTATGAGATTAGTCAGGGAAAAGGCTACCAGATCAGGTGCAAAATGTTTTAAGGTCTATATTGTGTAAATAAGACAAAGACTCTGGTCTTCCTCTGCAAGGTCAGATATTTCTTTACAAAGAAAATGTTGTGGCATTTGCTCTGAATGTGAGGAAATGCTCCAGTGTTGTCTTGTATTAAAAATGTCAGTAAGCAAACACAGCAATAGAATAAAAAAAGAAAACACCAGAGAGGATTAGTAGCAACAGGCATTCCCTCCCCTGTATGTGAAGCAATATCCAATATTACTTAAAATAGGCTTTGTGCTTACTGTATGCTGCTCTGACAAAGGAGTGCATGCAATAAGAAAGAATTTGCTTCTCTCAGGCTCCCCAAAGCAAATAAGCTCTTGCATTCTGTGCTGTCATCAGGACCAGGAAGGTCCTTGCAGGATCACAAAACAAATCAAGCAGTTGAGGGCTTCCGGGCAGCTAGCTAACAAAAATATACTATCAGAGGATGCAGCCCAGCAAGCTCTGCGGCTGTCACAGCGGTCGGCCTCCAACGTGGGCATCCGTTCAAGAGCTTCACTCCCACATCTGGTGAAGCTGTGACAATCAGTGTCTGACCATTTTAGAAATCAGATACTCTGGGTACCAGGAAGTTGATTTGCCTTCCACTTCCTTAACAAAACACACATTAATATTTAAGCTTTGCCTTCATAAAGCAGCATTCTGTCTTAGGCAAAAGTTATGTGCTGAGAAAGTTCACTTGGATGCAGCCAACCATATATACATTTCAAATATTCCTTAAGACCTTTTGAAAAGCAAGCCAATTGAATCCTGCTGGCTTATTATTGCTGTTTGACAGATTTATATATATATTAAATCTTTATTTTATTTTATTTTTAAAAAATTATCTCTACCCCAAAGCAAGGGATGAAATATTTCCCTATTAAGGAAAATGAAAGACCTTAAATGCTTTTCACCTTATTCCTACCGTTGTTTTTTTTAGCATCTTTCTTCAATTAGAGAGCCAGATGACATAAGGTTATCATATTATTTTCATTACTGCACACAATGTCTTAACTATCAAGGACCTCTAGCTTTTCCTTTTTCCTTAAAGATAACTCCTTTAAAGAAATCCTGTATTTTGTTTTTAACAGTGTGTCATAAAACTGATAACAGCATCTCAAATGTAGTGCAGCAATCCACTCCCAACTACTAAATGGTTCAGCAAACAACTAATTTATTTTTTTCTAAAGTTTTGCCACTACTGAATGGTGATTCCTCCTTCCCCCTGCTTCTCCCTCTTTTAAACCTATGAGTAGACAACAGGAAGAAGAAAGATGAAGTTCTTTAAGGGCTGCACTGCATTCTAAACAAAATAATCTCTTTGTCCAAATGAATGTTTTGTTTATGTAAATCTTTATCTGAAGTTTTGTTCTAACAGATGTTCACTGAAATAATAGACAGGGGCTTAAATTCAGGTACTGAGTATTTATCCTGTGGGAAGTTTACCATCTATGTACACCAAGATTCTTTTATTTTACATATGTGATAAATCTTTGTTGTCTGCTTGGCTCTGCATGAACATTTGAAAAACAACAACAACAAACCACATAATTTATTGACAAATGCCAAACCAAATGACACTTGCATTTAACTAAAACTAAACACATTGGTCCAACTCAAGCTGAGGAAATACAAACAGGTAGCTTACTGATTGTTTATTTATTTATTAGTAAACTTTCATGCAGACATTCCGACAAAATAATTCACTGCATGTGGCATTTAAAGCACGTTTGATGCACACGGCTTTCTGCAAAGAATTATGGAAGCTACAATTCCCAGCATCCTTAACAAGCTACAGTTACCAGGATTCTTTGGGTGGCTGTAATTGAAATGTGATTTGAATGTATGGCCTACAAGATCAGCAGTTGGTTGATTCTATGACTCAACCAACTGTTCTCACTGAGTCTGTGTCTGGAGCTCATATGACTGAATTATCCTACTACTGTACACAGAGAAACAATTTCCTTTTACAGTATGCGAGTGCTGGTAGAAAGTATACCATCACCAAGAGACAGAGTTATGAATCAGGAAATCCCCATTTTAGATCTTTCATCTGCTAGGAGGCATTAGGCCATGCTCTCTCAGTCACAGCCCACAGTTCAAATGCAAAAACGGACATATAGTTCGACAAGGTGGAACAGACTCATCCACAACATTGCTATGGGTGAGAGAACTCACCAGCCTAACCAGAATGCCTAGGTGTGGAGAATGAAATAAAGGTAGCATCTAAAGTGGGAAATATTGTAATAACAGGTAGCTTCAGGTACTCTCACATAGATTGTGACTATGTACACACCATACGTTTAAAGCATGCCTCTCCCCAATGAAATTGTCATTTGCTCCTCACAGAGCTACAATCCCCAGCACCCTAACTACAGTTCCCATAATTCTTTAGTGAGGGGAAATTGGCCTTAAATGTATAATCTGTATGCAACCTGGGTCCATGTGTGTTTCAGACAGAAGAAAGAGGGTATTTTAAAAAAAGAAACTGTTAAAGACTGCCCTAGAACAGTTGGTCATGAAAACAACAAGACAGAAGGCAACTCTGGACTTTAATCTTGGGTGATCTTAAGACCTGGTGTGAGATGTAAATGTTGTTGAACCGATTGGGAATAGCTGCCACAGTGCTGCCAAGCTCAACACATATGTAACTGGACAGTTGCCAAGCAAGTCAAACAGAGTCACATTTGACCTCAAAACAAGAAACTTTTTTTTAAAAAAAGAGGGGACTGGTAAAAAGGAATCATAGAATCATAGAGTTGGAAGAGACCACAAGGGCCATCGAGTCCAACCCCCTGCCAAGCAGGAAACACCATCAGAGCACTCCTGACATATGGTTGTCAAGCCTCTGCTTAAAGACCTCCAAAGAAGGAGACTCCACCACACTCCTTGGCAGCAAATTCCACTGTTGAACAGCTCTTACTGTCAGGAAGTTCTTCCTAATGTTTAGGTGGAATCTTCTTTCTTGTAGTTTGGATCCATTGCTCTGTGTCCGCTTCTCTGGAGCAGCAGAAAACAACCTTTCTCCCTCCTCTATGTGACATCCTTTTATATATTTGAACATGGCTATCATATCACCCCTTAACCTCCTCTTCTCCAGGCTAAACATGCCCAGCTCCATTAGCCGTTCCTCATAAGGCATCGTTTCCAGGCCTTTGACCATTTTTGTTGCCCTCCTCTGGACACGTTCCAGTTTGTCAGTGTCCTTTTTGAACTGTGGTGCCCAGAACTGGACACAGTACTCCAGGTGAGGTCTGACCAGAGCAGAATACAGTGGCACTATTACTTCCCTTGATCTAGATGCTATACTCCTATTGATGCAGCCCAGAATTGCATTGGCTTTTTAGCTGCCGCGTCACACTGTTGGCTCATGTCAAGTTTGTGGTCAACCAAGACTCCTAGATCCTTTTCACATGTACTGCTCTCAAGCCAGGTGTCCCCATCTTGTATTTGTGCCTCTCATTTTTTTGCCCAAGTGCAATACTTTACATTTCTCCCTGTTAAAATTCATCTTGTTTGTTTTGGCCCAGTTCTCTAATCTGTCAAGGTCGTTTTGAAGTGTGATCCTGTCCTCTGGGGTGTTAGCCACCCCTCCCAGTTTGGTGTCATCTGCAAATTTGATCAGGATGCCCTTGAGTCCATCATCCAAGGGAGTTGAAAGTCAAGAGGGTAAAATCTCTCCAGAATGCTTGGGGACTATACAAAAGCACAATGATAGAAGAAGGTCAGCTAAAAAATATATGGCAGATCAGGAAAGGTACCACCAGGGCCAATAGGATATCAACATGGTCAAGAACAGTCTGATAAGCTGTTAGAAAGCTGCTCCTCCTCCTGCTGCTGTTGTTGTAACGGAAGTTGTTACCAAGCTCAGCAGGTCAAGTGTTCTCATAGTGCTTGTGTCATTGTTAGCTACTTGCAGTTTGATAGTTTTGAACCTTTGGTGGTCTGTTGTACACAACTGCAGTGGCCTGTTCTCCCAACATGATCATCTTCAGCTGACATTCTCTTATTAGTAGTTCTAATGAGGTGTTTAGTGCCCACCTGCTACAAGCTCAATCTAGTAAATAACGTAGCTAGTACAGCCTGCTATATTGAGAGAAGTGTTTAGTATATGCATATAAGGAGAGATCAATATCGGCATCCAGAGTATTGATACACTGTATAAAGATTTGTTATCAGTTTATCTGTAAAATTATACAGTTTATTTTGTATGCCACTGAGCAGCCATGTTTCACACAAACTCAGGGCAGGACTCAATTAAGGGAGGATTGAGGTCCACTAGTGCAACAGGCCTTTCACTCCTCTCCTGCCCCTTGTGGCCCCTTAATCTGCACCGGAGGGTTGAGAGAACACCGAGAACAGGTTTAGCAGACAAGGGAAGAGAAGGTCCCTTCGCTCAAGTGGGTCTTGTTACACATACGCATATCCTTAGGGTGGAATTCAACACAGTGCAAAGGACTGTAAGTCAGCTTTTACTTAGAGTAGACTCATTGAAATTAATGACAGTCAGTAACCTAGGTCAATTATTTTCAATGAGTCTGCAACCCTAAGACTTGGTGGATGCTCACAACTAAATACTGAAGGGGGAAATGTTCTTGGCAGTCAAGACATATCAAAAATGTGCTTAGGTATCAGGGAAAGATCACATGTTTATTAACAGAAATGCAACTATTGTTCCCTTACTGGGTAATTTCACAATACCCCTCTCTCCTGATTGAAACAGGGTTAACTTCTTTTTCCAATGTATAATATTTGCAGTTGTCTCCTTCATATTAGAGAACTCAGCCATCCATGCAGAGAACCAAGAACGCTAATTAGGAGTCAACAGTGTGGCTCCCTAGCATTGCAAACACACACACACACACACACACACACACACACACACACACACGAATACACTTTAAAAAACACCCAACAAAGCACATTCTAAATCATCCTATTACTGGTGCATGTGTGCTAGCTTCAGTCACCAAAAATCTTCTAGCATTCAGAATGCTTGCTGGAGAAAGGGAGACCATCTGGCAGGTAGAGAAAGTAGGCTTACATTTGCTGTTTCTGGAATTATACTGGCCATGCAATTCTCATAGCGTTTCTCCAGTGATGGTAACTGCCGGATAATATGAGAACCATTGACATCTTCCTGCCTCTCCATTCACCAAGAATGTGCTTTATCTCATGACTTCCTTAAAAAGGTGGTCCAGTGCAACTGAGGACATTGATAATAAAAGATAAAAAGATTTTTATAAATGGATGGCATGAAACAACAAGACAATCCGTTTCCATAAAAATAGCAGCACATAACTAATAATATCAAGATCAATTAGCCCATAATAAGAGCAGCTTCAAACAATTTCAATAAAGATTACTAGCTTTGGGGGGTGGGGGACAGAGCAAAAGAGGTCTATACCAACTCATGAACAAAGTGAATTCTATTCAGGATGTATTTCGAAATTATAGGCGTAACTCCTGAGGAGGCTCTTTTCCTGGTTCCAATCAAATAAACCTCAGGGAGAGTTGGAACATAAAAGAGATTTCTGACAATCGTTTTAATAAGTGGCCAGGTTCATATGGGAAAGGGTGGTTCTTTGGCTATCCTGGGCCTACACTGTGGGTCCCCACTTGTGAACATAAGAAGGCCCCTGCTGGATCAGACCAGAGGCTTATCTAGTCCTGTATCTTGCTTTCCACAGTGGCCATAGACAAGTTGTCTATGGGAAGCCCACAACCAGAACATGACAGTCATTTCTCAGGAACTAATAGTCTACCTCTGGTTATTCCTAGCAGCCATTCAGTAGTGGATGGTGTGATGGGTGGCATCACTCACCTGGCCATTGCTTTTTTGTCATATCACTGTTGCTTATTGAGAGGTAGAGGAGGAGGGGGGAGGCAACAGAAAAGTTGGTGCTGTGCAAACACATTGGCTGAGCCAATCCTGTACTTCTGCTGGGGCGTTTGCACCATGCCAGCCTCTGCTCTGCCTCTCCCTTCCGCTTCTCTCTTCTGGTAAGCAGCAGTGATGTGACTGTCTAGAGGGCAGGTGAGCAGTAGAACCTGCAACCCACTTTATAGTCCTTGACAGCCTTATTGTCACTAATATTGCCTTTTCAAAGATGGAAAATCTCTGTATGTGTATTTCTAACTTTATCTCCGGGGCCAAAGTGAAACTTCTCACTGAAGATCTAAGATGGCAGAATTTGGTAATTTTTGCCCGCTGTCAGATAATAAGAAAGAAAGATTGTAACCTTCACATTTGTGAATCAATTGGTAGATTTATTTAAAAAAAAAAAAAGCTTTGGTATCTTTCTCCGTTTAACCATTTCTGTTTAGACAATTGAGGACTGGCTTCAAAACTGAATTTACCCATAATAATTGGTTTCAAGAGAGAGAATCTGATGAACCTCCTTTTGCTTTTTAAAAAAAATGTTAGGCAGCTTTGGGGCTGTGTTGCCCAGTGTTGCCACTTACAAGCCCATGGGCGTAGCAGGGGTGGCAGTTGCCCCCCTAAATAAATAAAAATAATAATACTTAACTAACTGAGGTTCTGCCCCCTGCCAAAAAAAGCCTGCCCCCCCAACAAAAATTCTGGCTATGCCCATGTACAAGTTCTGAAATTCTGTATGTTCAGTGACCAGAAGAAGGAGCACAATACACATGCTGATGTTCTTCCAAGCAAAGCGGAATGTTGGGTCACGTATATCACTATGTAGGTATATTGGTATTTAACTGAGTCACTTCTTACCATCAGTAACCGTGAGAAGCTCACTGAAGCTTCTGTGAAGTGAAGTGGCCCAATGGGTGTATTGAGGCGGTTGGTGAGTTTCACTGATATGGACTGGATCCCCCTTATTTGTGATTTAAATGTGTGAGGGGGTCCATCTGAATGACTTTAGTGAAAAGGTTGATGAAATCTGTCGAAGTGAATATATCGAGGTTAGCTGAGTCAAGGTTTATGTTCTCAGTTGTGGTCACATGGCAGGGCGAAGTCTAATAAGCAACGGATCATCATTTCCCCTACTCGTTTCAAATGGTGTAGTATTATTTTAAGAAAAAATCCCCCAACTCTTTTTGTTGGAGTGTTATGTCTCTCTTTATAGTATACATGTTTCATTTAATGCTCTAAATGCTTCTTGGCTTGCCTGCTCCCTCAGGTGCCAGAGCAGTAACCATTGGGCAATTCAAGAGCAAAAATACACTTAACAGATGCTCTCTCAACCTTTCATTTCCTAGGGGTGATGCTGGTTCATTCCTTGCCAGTCTTGAAGTACCATGGACTGATTTTTAGGCGTACAGAGTCAACCTGTGTGCCTAAAAAGTTACTTTCATCAGCATCTAGTGAGAATTTGTGAAAGCATAACAGTGTGTTTTGTAAGATGGCCTAAAATGCCTATTTAGAATATAAATACCCTTCCCTCAGAATTGCGTAACCACAACCACAGGTTCCTAAAAATAGTTCTGTGCTGGGAAATAATTCTCAGGATATATTTGTCATGGTGTCTTTCTCCCCAGCTATACTCTATCACAAGCCTTTTGGTGTTCCATGTGTTTTGGGAGTGAAATATAATTTGCCAGTGTGGGAATAGTGCAGTGATACAAGTGTGGCTGGGGTGGTGGAGTCATGGAATGGTCATTTGTCCTACTTTACAGAGCACAGTCGTCTATGTAAAGCTGTCCTTTGTTTGAAGGGCTGCTCCCATTTAAATTTAAAGAGCCTTCAAAGAAGGGAGAGCAGGAGGGACCTAGTTGAGATACTGTCTCTGGTTTCTGCCCAGATGACACTCACCTGTGACAGGAACTTCTCGATAGAGTTTCCCCTTTTATGGAATGCCCTCCCGGGTGAGGTTCCTCCGTCTCCCTCATTATTAACATTCAGGTGGAAGTTAGAAACAATCTTGTTCATTCAGAGATTTGACAGCTGAAGTATGCTGCTGCTGGCAACCTTGAAATTAATTAGCTGTGAGGATTTTTGAACGTTTAAAAAAGTTGTATCGCTTTGCTCTTTGATTGCTTGCTGCCCTGACAAGGAGGACAGGATAAAAATGTATTAATCAAAATAATAAACAAACTAACAAACAATTGCACAAAAATGGGACTGAGAGGTTTTAGCCCTCTTCAGGCGTTATACTGCTGTGTTAAGCAAACGTGAGCAGCAGTCCTCTGCCTCCCTCTCCCATCGCCTTCCTGATCTCCTTCCAAGAGCTGGGCGGTGATATTCTGACCAGAGGGCTTCTTGTTCTCAAGGAGGATTGCTGTACATCCTAGAAAAAAAATGGAAGGGCGATGTGGGGGGAGGCAGAGCCAGAGTACTTGTCCACATGGGCCTCCTCATATGCTTGCTTACCTAATTTATTTTATTTATTTCAGAAAACATTTCTATGCCGCATTTCACAAAATTTATCAAAGTGGTATATAACAATTTAAAACAAGAACATTTCATTTTCATATACACACCATACATGAGATCGATAGTAGATAACAGAACAAAACTAAATAGCAATATAATGTTTGAAGAGGGCTTAATCCGCAGTCATTCATCATTATTATTTTAAAGGGTTGGTTTGTGTCCATACAAGAAACACAATGATAGCAACATAAGGTCAAACTGAAATAAAACCGGAATGGAACCATCCATGGAAAAAGGCCTGATGCATAGGGCAGGGGAGGGAAAGAGAGGAGTGGGTCAGCTCCTTTTGCTCTTTTTCAATTTGCAGCGGGGATATAAAACACCTTTGCACTTAGCTAGGGACAGAGCTCAGCATCAGCTTGCCATAAAACTCGGTAATTTTTGTAATCAATAATACATAACGCAGCTAGTCCATGTATGGTGAGTAAGGATATTCCTTCTGCCCACTGCTGGACTTTGTTCACTTCCCCAGTGTTTTAAAATGATACGTACAGGGACAAGAAGGGCATGACTAATCCCATTTCTGCTCTCCTGGAATAAGTGCCCACACAATAGGGAAACACCCCATCGATGCTACTTGGTCTGTGAACTTTAGTTCTGTCTCCAGGACCAAGTTGATGTGAACTGTGGCCTCTGCCCGGAACTGAAAAACAACAGAACAGCAGGCTATCGTGTAGAAGCCTTCTGTGTTATTGGATTGTCAGCAGTTGGAGGAGGAAAGCATATTTTCCTTAAATACCCATGAGGAGACAAGTATGTCCTTACAATCATTTTGCTATATGAGGTGCCATCTCAAATCTAGTTAAGGTTATAGCAGAAAGAGAGCGCAGCGTTCCACTTATTTAGATAGACTTGTTTCTTTAGTTCCCAGTTCCCATTCTGCACATGGGTGTTAATTTAGCTGCATTCATAAGCCAACAGTAAAAAGCTGTTGCAGGTCCCCTAATATGGGGCCCCGGGGGGGGGCAGTTCAGAAGCACTGAGGGCAAAATGACCAAATACATGTTTCAGTCATAAATACTGCTACTCAGGGGTGTCAGGTAATGCATATGTTTATTGAACATGTCTTGTGGGAACTGGATGTCAGCCCATGTCTTCCACAAAACTCATAGCCATTAATAAGTGTTAAACCATAGTCTACTACAGTATATATATTTAGGGGTGGGGCATTCTAATTTATTAATATATATTCAGAGGAGGAATTTTATTGCAAAGGCCAATTCTGCACTGCCACTACTGTTTTACTTTGCATTTTTATCTTGTGAACCACCCTGAGTTCTTGTGTTGAAAGGCGGTATATCAGTCAGTCAATCAATCAATCAATCAATCAATCAATCGTTCAAGTAAATAAATAACAAGAGAATATGCTATGCATGCAAAATATTGCAGGGCCATCTTCAAAAGAATTGCATAGACAATTTGGCTAACAGAAACTTGCCATGAGGGGAAATTTCCTCTGGGTTGCTCCATTGCTAATAAAATTCAATACAGTTCAGTAATTGTTCTGACTAGGTATTCAATCCGCAAAGCAACGAGTGCAGTGGTTCTGCTTGGACGATATATACTGCTTTATATAGAAATTGAAAAGAAGGTTTCCCTATTATAAGCCTCATTTATGTAGAACATTAAAAGATCTTCTCATATGGGCTATAGTTGTTATTTAGATATGGGTTATATCAGGGTAGCCACTTTTACTGGACCATGATTTGGTGATTATTGTACTTGACATTTATCTTGGGAGAGATGAGACTTCTTTGAGTGTATTCTGCTGTGGCAATCATGCCCACTGTATATAGCAAGCATCTTCACTATCTACTGATACCCCTTTGGAGGTTAATCTATTGTAAAATTAGATTGTAAAAATGGACGTAGATTTCACATTTACATATTGGTGCTTAAAGGGTTTGTGAAATGATTCAAATGCTGTAAAATATTCCTAATGCAGCTGAGGTTGAAGCATAATTCATGTGTGATATGTAAGCCATGCAAATGAACATGGATTCTTTCTTATGGACCCTTTCTGCTTTCAATTCATCTTTCAGAGGTTCTTACCCTCCCAATTTGATTGCCTTAAGAACACAGATTGTCTTTTCTCGATGGCGAAACTACTTTAATCCCCCTTTCCAGAGGTCAACTAATCTCCAGTCTTAAGTGCCATAGATGCAAATACACTTCTCCTGCAATGTTCCTCCTAATTTAATTCCCTTCTAAGCTTTCGCGTATAAACCAAGTAATGGAACCAGTTTGGAAGGGGTCAAAAGGTTTCTGTTCCAGTAAAATTTAAATTGACATCATACACTGATAATGGTATGCGCTGCTCTACTATAAACATTTGCTGCCACTTTTTCAGCGAATCATTTTGTACCCTAGCAGCTAGACACTGAACAAAGGTGCTGCTTTGTTATAACTCAAGTTACAGCTTTTGCTTTCCTGTAAAAGTACCCTCCTGCAACTCAGAACACATGGAAGACAAAAATCAATTGACTTTGTTCATATTTCTACCATTATCCTCAAATGAACCCAGAAACATGCATTCCAGCTGTGCTTGGTTAAAAGCTATATTATTTAATTTCTTTGGATATTATACTTTTGCCTGCTTTAGTTGGTACAAAGCTACCTGATTTCTTGAGTATGAGACATTTGTAACTATGCTAACGTGCACTCGATGCACTGAAGCCATTTCCAAAATCCCTTGGTGGGGCGCCTCATCTGATTGCTCATGGCTTTCCTATTTGGCTTGGTTGTATGTACTTGTATATTTGCATGCTTTATTTGAGTTTGTGGATAGATGCCCAAGTTAGGCACACTTGACTGATCTCATGAGCAGCGCATTCACAGTATTGATTCTAGCTAGAGAAATGCCAGTCCTATTGAGGAACACTGCCTGCTACTATCACCACCACCACCACCATCACACATTTAAGTAGCGCTTATTTAGTAGCAATCATATTGCTTATTAATAACATGTGAACATACAGAGTATTTGCACGTGCATTGTGTCAGCAAAATATGCTGTCATGTGTAAAAGGAAGCTTTGTTATTAAACTCGAGAGAAAGCTGGCGTTATCAGCTGGGGACGTTTTAAGCAGACTGGCCTGATAAATGTACTGTTCTTGTGGATTATTTCTTCCCTTTGTGCAGGAACTCTGGCTCTGTGTCAGAGCCTAGGCCTGACAGAATCCAGAGCATGCAACTATACTAATTTATTATTAAAGGCCATGGGGAGCCAGTGGCTCACTAGACAAGAAGTAGCAGCACAGAGGACCAGGCCTGGATTGTGTTGTGTGGCACTTTTCCTTCTTTGAAGCACATGGCTGATTCCTGCTACTTTATAACATTCGGAAAGTCTTCTTGCGACTATCTTAAAGGGGGAGGAATTTGCCATTGTTACTGATTAACACATAATCATTTAAGGTTAACAATATATATATTTGAATGTGCTACCCAGTGCTTTTTTCCGGAGGGGGGGGGATGCAGGGATACGCATACCCCTAAACATTTTGTGAATCTAAGTTTGGCCTCATTGAAGGGCAGTATTTCAATATGAGTAGGAAAACATTTTATTTATTTATTTTATGTTGGTGCTACCAGACCACATGTAATTTATCTGAAATGCATTTTTAAAAACCTCACCCAATTTTCAGGTTATAATAAAGCACAAGACATTGTTAGCCTCACCTTAGCATCCTTTTTTATAATAGCCACTTTGGTATTCATAAGAATTATGATTTGCATGACCATTCTGGGAAATAAAACATTGTCTTCTTGGTATCTTTTAAAGGACCTCCAGTCACAAATCATGCACTTTGCTGTCCCTTTTGTTGTTAACCTCCCTAAATAATTTTGGGGTGATCAGCAGGTCTGGACACCTCACTGCTTACCCCAAATAATTTGTAACCAAGTTGAAAAGCAATGGATTTGACATTACCCTCATTTCCTTTTATTGAGATTTTCTCAGTTACCATATGAGCCACAAACATTTTTAAAAGGGGGAGGTTCCATAGTCAAGTATAAGTTTATGTTGGCAAGGAAATTCAGGAAAAAACTGAAACTTATTCAAAACTGTTGTTAAGCATGTTTCCACACACTACCTTACTTTCCCTTTTTCACCTGCAATGCTAATGGCTGGACAAAGCTGCCACTAGCGGTTAACCAGAGCTTTGACTAGCCTGCAACTGCAGGATCATTTTTCGTTATTGCTGCTTTGGAAGGAATGGCTGCAAAATTTAGGAAACATGGCTTTCATTAGATTTCCTACCCCTAGAAGCCTCTTCTGGATCCTTGAAACATGCCCCTGTCAGCCTGGAATCTTCGTCACAGGTCTGAAATCCATTTCCCACAACGTTACGAATTAAGAAGCTGCAAAGACCGATCTGTGCGTTTGTGCTGTAGGAGGACCGCTGATATGCAGCAGAGCTGTCATTTCAACAGGAAACCATCCATCATTTGCCTGCTAGTCCTCAATAATCACCTTCTATTACAGTCAGATTGAATCTTCAATTGGTGGCATTATGCCAGGTTTCCTACAGTTCTCGATTTCCTGTACTTTACAGAGGTATTCAAAATAATTTACCGTTTAGTTCAAGAGACGTATTCGTCCTGAAAAATATTATTGTCATTAACCTGTTGATGCCAAAAGGTTTGGGAAGTGTAACCCTTGATCTCTCCCTTTAAAGGTTTCTTTTTTCTGACTGTAAGTATGCTGTAATATTTGTATTTTTTTATGCCGTCCACACTGATGCAATGTAAAAATGGAAATATGGTGGGCAATGACCCTTTCCCTAACAATATAAGCAATGACCTGATTATAAAGATTACATCAAGCAGAAAGGTAAGGGTGCCAGTGCAGGGAATAATCAAGCAAATAGTGAAAATAGCAACCAGTAAGAAATAGCAACCAGTAAGAACGTAAGGCTGTGCATACCCTCCACTTCTAAGCTAGAGTAGAAGTCAAGAAAAACAACTAAATTTATCCTGTCAATTTTATTTCTTTGCTATAATAACACATCCTGTCTACACAAGGGTACCATTGCTACTGTTAAAATGTATTGATGGTTTTCAGAGACCCAGAATGGAACCGCAGAGATACAGAGGTGGAAAAGTACTGGTTTCAGTTCCTTTCCTTGTCATTCTTTGGAACACATTGTGTGTGTTTAAATTAAGTGTAAAGGAAACACAGCATGATCCAAAATGAAATTTTATCACTGCCTTTCATCTTGGTCATAGTGTCATTTTTGCATACTGATCACCATTAGAAACATAGGAACTTAAGAAGCTGGCTTATTTTCAAGTCAGAAGATTGGTCCATCTAGGTCAGTGCTGTACACACTGACCAGCAGGGGACTTTCCCGGACCTACCTGGAGATGCCGGGAATCTCAAAGTCTAAACATACCCTGATCCATGCACCCTTTTGCATGTTTAGCTGCTTCCTCCATCAAGGTGCATGATGATGTCTTTGCAAGGAACTACCGGAACACAGTGTGGTATTTGTCTTTCCAGTGATTGCATATGCTCAGAGGCACTGTTTGCCATTGCTTCACTTGTTCCAGAAGTGAAAATAGGTACTAAAAAGCCCAGTGGGACTGAGTCTTGTTTGGGCCTTGGGTCATTAGTTTGTATCCAGTGGTTTCACTCAGGTGACAGTAAGGGTTTGTCAGCAGAATGGAAAGGGAAGCAATTTTGGGATTCCACCAAATCCCCCAGAGGGTTAGGGGACTCTCCAAAGCAGATTTAGGGGGGCACTGGAGCTGCAGGGGGATGAAATTGATGAAAATCCCCTGTCCCCATTCTGCTTACAGAACTCTTAATCATCTGAGCAACACCACTGGCTACTGCCTTCAGATGGTGAAACAACTTGACTGATTTCAGTTTCTCCGTCTCCTGACTTGTAAGGGACCTCATTTGCTACTCCAACTCAGGCAGCTAAATGTTCTGGGCTGGACCCATTTGTGCATCTTGAATATTGGTAGGATCTTGAGAGTATTAGTTTTTGCCTGGGGCTTTCACTGGCATGTTTTTGGCAATCTGATGGACTGTGATGATGTCCTGGTGTGCTGTAGTGTAAAAAATGGGTGTAAGAAAACACTGAAGACCAAAGGTGTCTATGACTGCATTAATATTTTTCAGAGCTGCTGTAACTACGCCAGAAGACTCTATTGTAGCAGAAGTGCACCATGACCACTAACTTTCTGGCATTTGTCATGTACACAAAAATAACATGAGAGTATATTATTCCCATGCAAAATATGCAGAGCAACTTTGTCTCTGGTTTCTGGTCCATTCTGGTGTATGTCTTTGAGCAATGAATACATTATCCTATCTTAGTTTAACATCCTGGTGGTGTGTGTGACCGGGTGGGAGGAAGCATTCCCAAACGATGACTTTCTTTTTTTTCAACAACTGTCATAAAAGAGAAGGATAGGGTTTTTCTTTTTCTTTTTGCCATCCAGTTTCTTGATTCTGCAGTAAAAATGGGTGAGTGTGTTTGTGGGGGAGTGGCTGTACCATTGTGCATGCCTCGTATCCAGCAGAAGAAAATAGGAAATATTTCACCCTGGCTCAAAAAGGGTGGGGATTTCTTTGTTTCTTTTTATATTTATCCAGGAAAAGCTGACAATCGTCCCACATTAATGAACAACACCATCAATCACAGCACTGACAATGAGCGGAAAAGCGAGGTATATGTCAGACTGACGACATATTGCTTTTTTCAGCTAGGGCATGGCTGTTTATAGCCCTTTTTTTTTTGGTCTGGCAAAAGGCTTACTGCTTTGGGATGGAACTACAAAGAAGACTGTGCAATAAATCTAGAAATATGCTTTGTTGCTTCAGAACTTTTAGCACTCATTTGCTTTCATTTTTTTTAAAGCGCTAAGCAAGTTAAAGCATGGAATGCACAAAAGTATTTTCTTTCACCCCAGTCCTGAGGGAATGTTGATGCCAATGCTAAGAGGGTTGGACCTCATAGTCCTCCTTCTGTTAAGTCCTTGTGTGTAGTTTGCTTGTTATTTGCATTTGTACCTGTTTTCTGGCAAAAAAAAAAAAAAAATGCCTTCAGAGTTTGGTATCCAAAACATTGCAGCTAAGTAGAAACCACATTTAATTGCAGGGATGTTTTTAGGACCACGCAGCTGTACCAAACAATAGCATATTTAAGAGGATGCCTAGTCCATTTGTTAAGATGTTCGCTTATTAACTGCAGGCTGCTTTTAAATGTGGGAAAGCAGTCCAAAATATGACCCTCCCAACCTACAGTCTGAAGTGATGAGTCCAGAATTCTGCCACATCATTCCATCACCTCACACTGTGTAACAAGAGGAATATCGACACTATGAACAACAACCAGAATATCCTGGGTGTTGTAATTAATATTTTAGCCACAGAGGGGACGATTTAAACCAGAAAGCTGTCTTTTATTGGAGCATTTATATGAGAAAACAACATCGGCCCAAGCTATAGGTATCCCCGTAACTTTTCCCTCTCTCAAGAAGACAGCAGTTTGTCTGTGGGAAGAGCAGTGTCTGTGAGAAGCATTGTTTGTTAAAAGAATGGACACTGCAGTGGAGAGTGAAGGGAGTTCAGACTATTCTTTTCACATGAAGGTTTCGTTTCAGTGCAGGTGGAAGGCAGGTCTCCCTTGTCTTTTCCTCCTGCCTTTCTTCTTCTTGCACCGATACATGCAAGACACACACCTACCAGTTTTTCTCTGTGGCATATCTCTTGGTTCTCTGAAAGGCATTCGGCAAACAGTCTCTTGGACCACAACTGCTGTCTTGTCAGAAGTAACCTGCTGATGGCACCATGCAAGGTTTGCGAAAAGATCCTATGCACAATGTAGATGATACTTGGCCTTTGTATATATGAGTGAAATGCTGTCTCAGGCATTCTGACGTGAAAACGATGCTAAAACAATCCAACCCAACAGTGACCCAATAATAAACATAAAGCAGACTATCAGCCAGGTCCTGTGCGATGTACTAGACTGGGGTCTGGTAGATCTTGTTTAGAACCAAGTCAGTGTACCAAATAGGCAGAGTAGGCTCACAGGCCTATTGGCCCCACGTCTTTTGGGGCCCCTGTGACAACAGATCAAAATAATATTAATTTGATCTTGAAATAAAATTACAACATTGTATTAGGAAATAACTTGTGACAAGCCCCCCCTCCCAGATTTTGACTGCCTAGGGGCCTCCACAGGGTTTAATCCAGCACTGAACTGAATCCTGTAATCCTTTACAGAGTTATTGCAGAGTAAGTACTGCTGCAGACTTAGAATGCAATCCTAACCATTCACAAGTAAGTACTATTGAACTGAACATTGAATTCAATCATGCTTCCTCCCATGTATGTGGGGTTAGGATCGCGGTCTTACTGTTAATGGGATTAACAACCCCATTATTAACAATCCCCAATTGTTAATTCCATTAACTGATAATAAATTAACCTTCATAGTTAGTTGCTCAGTTTACTCCTGGATAATTCTGATTTGTTTCATGTAGCAAACTAATAATTCTTTCTCAAATATATATATTTCATACAGGGGAACATGGAGGACCCATTTGCTTCACGTGGGTTCTTATTTACAAGGGTAGACTTCAAAGATCACTGTGTTTAAGCCTAGTAGTGTGGGTATAATAACGCAGATTCATGTGGGACATTTCTAGCATAAGCAAATGCAGGCGGACCAAGTCCATCTGACTGGCTTTTTAAAAATAAGGCAAACTCTGCTTGGGAGGCACCCTAGTGAGATGGAAATAATGACTATATAGAGTTCAGAGAATCAGCCACCCCAAATCTCTTCCCTCATCTGAAAGCACAAATGAAAGTCGGACCGATTCATTTCATGATGCTGTTCCCAGATGTTTTGTTTATGGGAAAGTTTCCTTATGTGCAAACTAACTGAAAACAAGAAATATAAGAGCTCCAAAACAGTTTTAAAACCCCAACAACAACCTTTTCCAGGCAAAATTACAGCTACTTGATGAGAGAGATATTTTCACGGCATCAGCATAAAAGACAGAAATTCTCATCCAGAAATGGTATATAAATAAATAAACTCTAATTGGGTTGACAGTGCCCCCTTTCCTGGCAGTGCCAAGAATCCTAGCATTGTAATTACACCGTTCTGGGCAGACATGTGGTATCCATTAAGAAGGACCTGTGATTGACGGAACTCATGAGGCATGTCAGAAAAAACACATCAATGTCTTTATAAAAGGATGGGGGGAGGGGAGAGAGGAGATCCAAACTCACTTTGTAGGAAATGGGCTTTTGTAAATGGTTCAAAAAGGCTAGAATAATGCAATAAGCAGAGAGGGTCAAAAATCAAGAAAGCATGATTGTGCATAAATTTGGAAGGCTCTAATGCTGATAGTGTTTCTTTCGGGAAAATAAACTTTCTATCTCTTTTCCAAAGATCCTTTTTATTATTTTTAACCTGTTTTCTGAGCATTTGAAGATGTTTTCAATTAAGATGATAAATATGTTCAAAGACTGCAGAAGAAGGATCCCTAAGTTGTAAAGAATGGTATACACTTTCCCATAAGTGTGTGTGTGTGTGTCGGTTGTGTGTGTGTGTGTCGGTTGTTTAAGGGAGGAGAAAAATTGCATTGTAAGAATATTGTAAACTACATCTAAAGAGCAGAGCAAAATACCCTGAACTAAAGGCTTGCTTTAATGACTTAAAGTGACTGAAACATTGGGAGGTTTATTTCTGTGCCTTAGCATAAATACTTTCTTTCCCCCCGAAATGACAAACATTTTAAGATTCTGCCAAATAATCTCATCACCTGGCATCCTCACCATTTTATGTTAGATGTGTTTTCTTGACAACAAAACAATTTCCTCTGCCCCCTCCCTTAAAGAGTGCTCTGTTTTTCTTTTAAAAAAATAGCAAAAAACTGTGTTTCTTAAAAAGATTACCTTTTAGGAAAATTATTTGCCGTGAAATGTTTTAAAATGAAGCATGAAGAAAGGTATTCAAAGGATTTTTAAACTGTCACAGTGGAATAGTTTGGGGAAACCTCTGTTGCAATATTAGTCATGTCAATAAATTGGCATTTGTAGTTAGTTTGCAACAAGGATTTTATGCTTTGCTAGTGAAATCATGGTGCTTGCCATTTTATACAGTGGATTCAGGCTGTTGAACCTTGAGCAAGCTGGAGATACCCCTGGACTTCATATTGAGTACATGGAAACATAACCAAACTACATGCTTGTATCAGTTTTATACCACTTTAACTGTCAGTACTCTCTTCAAAGAGTGCTGGAAATTGTAGTAGTTATTATAATTCTTTTTGTTCAAGATCCCTCCTTTCGCCTTCAAAAACCTGATGTTCCTTGGAGAGGTAATGTCTGCATACTCTCAGAATTAGCTAACTATCCTGAAAACTCACAGCCTGTGCTGGTCTTGATCTGCCAGAAACTCCCCTCAGGAAAAGTTGGTGGTGTTGGCAATTCCAGCTCTATTGAAAGGTCTTTCTTTTTTTGCAGGGACCTGGGTCTCAGAATCCTTTGCACATTTGATAGCAGGTTCCAGAAGAAGCAATCTGGGACCTTTTTTGTTATAATTATGAATGGAGCATCATCTCCCCTACGAGGATTATGGGTCTTGGAGTCCTAGCACCGCACAGGAAAAGTCACTTCACTAGAGCCTGGAGGTGTCTGCCTTTGTCACCTTCCCCTAGGCAGGTAGGGAAGGGAGAGATGGCGGCAGCAACAGAGACGGGGAGTCTACCCTTAAGCCTTTCTGAGCATTTGCAGTGAATGCTCACAACGGCTCAAACACTTTCAAGGGTGAGCAGTGGAATGTTTGTGCATCCTTCGTTTATATGTGGCATGACGGTGATGGTATGAGGAAGTACATAGCAATCTATGCCTGTAGTTAGTAAATGGTATGGCTATTCTTCATCCAGAACCAACTGGGAGATGTGCAGGTGTTGTGTTTGGTGGGATGAAGACTCAAATGTGCTGTCAAGAGCAGAAGCAGTATCTGAAGAATCAGAGTGAGAGTTTTTACTTACCAAAAAGAGAGTACTTCATCATGAGTAGATGACAGCTTCAGAGGTCAAAATTTCACAATAATTATCTAAGAGTTACCCATGTTGAAAATGCCAGGGTGCCCAGCATGAGCCAACATCCCGTCCATCATAAATATACATGTGTCTGTCAGCATGATGAGTAGAACAACCCATCCTTTCATTTTCATAATCTCATCTTGGGTTTTTCCTTTGGCACACTAAAGTTGGACATGTGAGATGAACCTAGGAACCTAGGTGGAATTCAACATAGCATGTGGAATGATCTCCCCTCAGTGGAATGATCTCCCCTCTCCTACGTGGTGTTTGGGGCTTCTCTTGACCCAGAACAGATTTGGGGAGGCACAGGGAGCATGTGGTTAGTAGGAGAGGGGTGAAAGCCCTGTTGTGCTACTTATGGGTTGGCTAAATTCAGCCCATAATTTTTTGTTTATGATTACAGTCATACCTTGGGTTGCGAACACTGTGGGTTGCGCGTTTTTGGGTTATGGACCATGCCATACCCAGAAGTACCAGAACAGGTTACTTCCAGGTTTTGGTGTTTGCGCATGTGCAGAAGTGCTAACTCGCACTTTGCGCATGTGCAGAAGTGCCAAAACGCATCACACACGTGCGCAGATGCAGCGCTGCGGGTTGCGAACATGCCTCCCGCACGGATCACATTTGCAACTCGAGGTATGACTGTATAGAGGCTATCTGAGCACAGAAAGTACAACTTAAACCCACGGTCGTAATGGGACTCTGAACTGATTCAGTTGGGATAATAATTATTCATAATAAAGAGGCCTGTCATTTCATTCAAAGCTGATGAACCTAGTTGAGATTAGTGCTACAAGCCAGCATCAAACTCATAGTTGCTTTGAAGCTGGCTTGCTTCAAACAAACCATGGTGAAAATAAACCATAGTTTATCATCTCAGGTTCAGTTCAAGTAGCAAGCTGCAGTTAATAATAAATGGATGTAAATGTTTATGATTGGCGGAAAAGAAAGAGCAGT